GGCCCCAGCGAAGCCGCGGGCCTGGGCCTCGACTTCGAGGACTCCATGTGGAAGCCGGAAGTCAACCCCGACATCAAGTCAGAGTTCGTGGTCGCTTAGGATCCGGCCCCCTCGGCCCCCTCGGCCCTGGCGGTCCAGGCCAGGCACCGGCCCGGGACGGGAGAGCGCGGCTCAGCCCGGAGAAGGCGGTCACCTCCTTCCCATCCAGTAGCCTTTCTCTCTCTCTTTGTTTTTTTAAACTCTTACCATGGTCTTCTGACCCCCCATGGACTTGGCTTCCTACCTCTCCTCCTGACACAGCCCCACCTCGTCCCCCTCCCGTGTCCCGGCCACCTTCCCCAGCTCCACATATGTAGCATCTTTCCAGATGGCTGAGAGCGGCGACCAGGACGCCGCCCCCACCCCTGCCGCGCCCCCTGCCCTCCGCCTCCCCCGCCCAATTCAGGTTTTAAGTCAAAAATGTAGACGCCTCAAAATGCACTTTACACACGAGGGGAGGGGGCCGCGGACAGGACCCCCACCCGCCGCCGCAGACGTGGCCTCACCCCAGGCCAGCAGGACCCGCACACAGAACCCACGTGGGCCCCCAGGTCGCTGGTGCCGATCGGGGACTGTGTCCTCTGGTCCGTCTGTCCTGTTTTCTTGGTCTCCTTTTCCATTTTCCTTTTTTTTTTGTCTTCAAAAAGAAAAGTGAGGCTGGTTGAGCAGGGAGGCTGGCCCGGAGGGGGGGCAGCCTTAGGCTCAGGTGGGGGGCATGGGACCCTTTCCTGCCAGGAAAGGAAGGGAGGGGAAGGGACCTCTGCCCAGCCCCTGCCAGCCACGACAGTGCGGTTTCCTTTGCCACCCCCTGCCCCCAACGCCCCTTTTTCCTGACCTCCTGCCTGAGCTTGGGGTATTTATAGACTATTAATTTTCTGACTGAGCCAATAGGGTTTGGGAATCGCTTGAAAAACTGGGAGAGAAATGGCTGGGGGGCCAGGGAGGCGTCCCCCACCCCTCCTTCCCAGCCCAACCTGAGGGATATGGGGTTGTGGAGTGTGGGGGCCCTCTCCTGCAGCCAGGATGGGGATGCTGAGCTGTGAATCCCCTGGGTAGGGGCAACGCTGTGTAGCATTAACCCCCTTTGGGGGGGTCCGCTGCTGGTCTAACTTGGACCTTCTCCACTCGGTGCCCATGCCCTGGGGGGGGGTGTCTGTGGCCCCCGGGGCATAGGGCAGACCCTCCCCCGCCCCCAGGGCTGTTTCAGTGGGGGTGGAGTTTGGTTTTTTCCCCCCATTCACTTTGTATTTCTTAAGGATAATGGACACGTTTGGACCCTGCTCCCCCACCTGTCAGTCTCGTCCTGGTCCCCCCCTTTGTTCTTGTAGGTGAACCCCAGATCCCCCCAGCCCCATTATGTGTTTAAAGTTAATGGTTTCAGATGTGAACATAATGTGTTAACTGTAGCTTTGTAAATTTTTTTTTGGGGGGGTGGGCAGGGAGGGGTCCAAGAGGGTAGAGGTCAAGAATTTGGGTTTTTTTGTTTTGTTTTCATTTTCCAAAAAAAAAAAAAGACAAAAAAACAGAAAAAAGGGGCGGGTTTGTTTTTTGAAGAACTGTCTTGGATACCTATTTAAATGTGTGTTCTGTTTTGTTTTTTAACGATTTTTAAATAACGTCTGTGCCTCCCGCGGGTCTGAGGGTGGAGGCAGGAACCGGCCCAACGCCTCTGCTCTCGTCAGGGCCCCCTCCCCAAGAAAGCATTACCCACCCTCTGGGATCGGGCTTTGGGGGGTCCCAGCACCTCGCGTGAGTTTCCCATATAAAAACATGAAATTGAGGCCCAACGCCTCTGCTCTCGTCAGGGCCCCCTCCCCAAGAAAGCATTACCCACCCTCTGGGGTCGGGCTTTGGGGGGTCCCAGCACCTCGCGTGAGTTTCCCATATAAAAACATGAAATTGAAAAAAAAAGCTTACACAGGCACCGTGATTTCAAGTAATAAACAGAAATGAAACACGAGTGGATGTCCCGCCTGTTCACGTGGGGGGGTCTTGCCTGTCTTGGGGATGTGGGACAGGGTGGGCAGGGCCCCGGAGCAGTTCCCACGCTCCCTCCCCAGCTTGGGGGATGGACGGGAAGCTACTGGGGCAGAGGAGGGAGGGGCCAGCCACTTCCTGGTACCCAAGGCCGGAAGTCCTTTGGGGTGTGGGGCAAAGGCCTGTGTGCTCTGGGTGGATCCCTCGCCGGCTCTGGGAAGAGGGCTGTGCGGACGGGAACACGGGCCTGACTGCCCGCTCTGGTCTCTGCCTGCCCTGGCTGCAGGGGTGGGAGGGCTCCAACCCTGTGAACCTCCTGCTTGCTTACTGGCTGTCATTCCTGGAGTCTCACCACTGTCGGGCTTGCTGCAGGGAGATCACAGGGCCAGCCAGGGGGGCAGCACCTCCTGAGGCTCCAATTCGTGACCTCTCAGCCCTCTGCAGCCACACCCTGGCTTTGCATTCCTGCACTCCCCAGCCCTGACCGTCACACGCATCCAACCTCCAGGCCTTTGCCCCAGCAGTGCCTATCCAGGAACCCAGGCCGCCCCCTGCTCTGCCTGGGAACCTCCCCAATCTGTACCTCCCATCCCTGCCAGCCCTGGGTCCCCCAGTCCCCGCCATGCCCTCTGTCCCCTGCTCTTAGCCAGCCTGGGTGGGCCTCCCCAGGGACCCAGCTAGGGTTGAGTCCTCCCTGGGGGCCCACCATCCACCTTGGGGCTGGGCAGAACCGGGACAGTCACACTGCTCCTAAATGTTCTTTTACATGCATTTCCTTATTTAACAAACACTGCCACCTAAGAGTTAGAAGTAATTACACTGCCATTTTATAGATGGGAAAACCGACGCCCAGAGAGAAACATCACTTGGCTGGAGGCTTAGGAGTGTTTGTTAAACTATGTGACCACCACCCCTCACCCGATTTCTGATGATCCAAGCCTCTGCACCAGGAGCCCCAACGGGAAGGGGGACAGGTGGCCTGGGGGCATCTTTCTGAAGCCCTGCTCCGCCCACCACCCAGTCACCCCCAAATCATCCCACGCCCACAGCAGGAAGGGAGACGCCCAGGCAGGCCGGTCCCTCCAGGCCTCGACGTCAGTGGGCGCAAATGTCCCCGCGGGGTTTGGAGGGCCCCAGGGCGGAGATGCTGGTGAGAAGGTTCAGGTGGAACCCGCAGCCCCGCCCCCTTCCCCGAAGGGTCAGGGCTGAGGGCGTGTGACCCAGGTCACCGCCGCCCCCTCCCTGGGTGGGGGGATGAGAAAGCAGGATGGAGGCCGTCCACTGAGGCTCCTACTGAATCCCGGGGGACCCTGCAGGGCGGGGACACATCCCCTGCTGTCCAGGAGCCCACCTCTCCGGAAGCTGCCTCCCCCCATCCTGGGGGTCTGGGGCAGGCTGGGTCAGCGGCCGGAGGGGCAGCAGGTGGAGGCCACGTGTGAGTTGGGAGGCACAGAAAGGTAAACTGAGGCACGGAGAGGACAAGGGCTGCAGGACCGCAGGGGGCGGGGTCGGCCCTGCCCCGCTCCCACTCCCCTCATTGAGGAAAAAGCTGAATGGGAGGGGACGGTCCCGGAAACCCGCGGGTATGGAAGCGCGGTTTCCAGGGCAACGCGCTGCGAAAAGAGCCTGATGTCACCACCGGGAGGGCGCTCCGGCCACCCCCGTCTGCGCCCTCGTGGAAGCCTATTGGTGGCCGCACACTTCGTTTATCCGCGGGCTCCAATAGCAGCGTGGGGTGGCCACCGGGAGGCGGGCCTTCAGGCTTCGGTGCTGAGTGCGCAGGCGCGAGCGCGGAGGCGCCGCGGCCCCGCCCCTCTCCCCGCACGTCTCCGAGCCTGGGGGCGGGAGACGCAGTCGAGGGCCTGACGGCTGCGGCTGGGGCTGGACGGAAGAGGGGGCGTACCTGGGGGCGCCGCACGTGGACCCCCGGTGCAGGCACGCTTACGTGCACCCCTCCTTTCACGCCCAGGCGTGTCCTGATGCCCCCCACCTCCTCTGTGACCCCATGTGCTCGACCCCCTGCCCAGCCTTTTTGCAGCCCCCAGACCAGGGGAGGCATCTGAGTTCAGGGAGGTGACCTGTAGGAGGGGACTTTGGGGCTGAGGCGCTCCAGAGGAATAGGGGTTTGGCAGCTGTGGTAGGAAGAGGGAGGGGGTGGCCCAGGTAGGGGGCACGGCGTGTGCAAAGGCCAGAAAGCGTGAAAGCAGGTGCATTTGGGGGGCAGCTGGGAAGCCAAGTTGGAGGAGAAAAAACAAAAGATGGGAGGAAAAGGCGACGCTGGCAAGGACCCGAGAGGGGAGATCCCCAAGTCTGTGACTTCAGGGATGAGATGGGGGACCAGAGAGGAGGAGCAGATTGGGGGAGCAGAGGCCAGGCCATCCAGGAGGTGGCTGGACACTTGCTTGGCTTGGGCTTAAGGGGAGGCCTGAGTAGGGGACAGATGGGGACCCCGTCAGCATCCCCCTTGGGGAGGTGGGTCTGGAAGTTGAGGGCATGCCCTGAAGTTGGTTTCCAGTTCACAGGGAGGTGGTTGGCAGGGGGCTGCTGAGAGGGATGGAGATTTGGGGAGGGAGAGAATGTTGGAACTGCCTATGTGAGCACTTGGCGGGGAGGCTGGCCGGGAGCCCGGGCGAGCTGAGGATCCAGGAGGCAGGAATTCCAGGTTGCTGCCAGCTGCCCGGCTGTGGGCTCAGGTTGGGCTCTGACCAGGCGTCCACTCTGAGATGGCGGCGGTCGGAGTGAATAGGTGTGGGCCTTTGCCAGGTGGGAAGGATGTCAGCTAAAACCTTTGGTCCAAGGCTGGCCCCTGGAGCTAGCCTGGGAAGACAGCGAGGGAGACTGGGGGAGGGGCTGGGCTCCTGCACCACTGTGGCTGCTTGGGCAGGAGGGAGCCCGGGCTGGAGGCCTTAGGCCAGGTGGTGACCTTACAGGTGGACAGTGCTCCTCGGGGGATGAGGCAGCTGTGGGAGGGCAGGACGTCAGTGGAGGCCGTAGTCCCCGGGGGTTGGCCCAATGGGCCCTAGGAACTGGTCCAAGGTTTTGAAATGCCAAAGGTCATGGTCTGGAGGTGGCTTGGGGCGGGCACCAAGGCGGAGCCAGGTCCCCTGGCCAGAAGCCTTTGAGGAGATGGGATTGAACAGGTGCCCCGGACACAGCTGCCCCCGCCCCGTCTTGCCTGGCGACCCCGCCCTCCTCTTCAGGCGCCGTGGGAATGGGAGTTCCCGAGCTGGAGGCTGGGGACGCCACCACCCCGTGGCCAAGGGCGTTGGAGCTCCACCCACGGGCTGCTCGGCCCTGGGAGGGCAGAGAACTGGCCGCCTGTGGTGTCACTTGGGACAGGTGAGCAGCTCGGCCTAGCGTGGTGGGGGAGGCTGCCCCCGGCTGGGCCGGCCTCCGCCGCTGTCTGTCTGTCTGTGCGCCCCACCCTCTGTCCGGCTGTCTTTTCCTCTGTCTGCCTCCGTCTCCACTCTCGGCCTTCCCCTACTTCTGCCTCCGTCTCCATCTCTCTCTGGCCGTCTCTATTTCCGACCCTTCTTCGTCCCTGTCCCACCACCTCCCCCACTCCCGTCCCCGCCCCGGCGCCCCCTCCCTCACCCCCGGCGCACA